TATACATTTGATAGAAAGAGTCACTGGTTTCTGATACATCATCACGTACAGTAGGTTCTTCTGCATTCCCAGCGTTTGTTCATACCACGTTAAATCGTACACACTTCTCGAGAGGCTCAAACTCTGCGAATTATGGAACGGTATAATGAGTCTTACGGAGATGTTATTTCGTTTCTTATGTACATGTCCTACCATGTCTTTCATGTAATCAGCTGGCCATGCATACATATAGAGATACATGAGGAAATACATGTTGAGCAGCAGGAACATCAATTTCACGTTTATCGGTGTATTCTGTTTATAAAATTATTGCACACGATCAGTTCGTTGAACGTGGTCTGCTCTTAAATGTTCTACTTACCATGGCCATTATGACGGCGCACAGTGTCATGAGGAATGAGCATAACGCTACAACAAAAAGTACCATGAAACGAAAGCAAGTAATCACATCTTCCGTGTATCTGGAGGAAAATACAAGTTGCACTTGCAGTGAATGTAAACGTATCGTTAGGTCCACTGTTTCGCGAATCTTTGCCAGTATTTCGGAAGCTGGAAGCAACACATTGAACCCCACTCGAGAACATGTATCAAGATTATAAAATTTGTATTAATTCTTGAAGTCTACGAAACGATTTACATCATTTAACAAAGTAGAATGTGTTTCGAACTTTTCGCTGATTTTAAATTATAGAGAGAGATGTTGTTTAAAATATTAGAAACTGACAACGTATTTCATGATTATCGACGTAATTTGTAACTTACTCTATGTTGCTGTATGATGTTGCATTTCGCGAACACCGGACCTTGATCTACGCAGGAAGTATAGAAAACCCGTGTCTTTACCTCTTTAAACGTAACTGTTTCTGAATGCATGCGATCAACGTACGAACATTCGTGTTGCTCTGCAGCTCCACGGCCAGACACTCGAACCTCGCTGCGGTGAACCAAATCAGAAGCCCTCCGAAAATGCATAAGCACAAATGAGAGCAGCACTGGTAGCCGGTGAGAATTTGATGCGCCCGTATCATGACACGTATTAATGTGCGATTACTATCAGACAGATATTCAGCGTGTATTATGTTGACCATTGGAAACATTGTAGGCCCCACCAAATAAATAGACGCCATCACGTATGCGCCGATTATGTAATTGGCGTAAATGACATTGCATCTCGCTAGGTACGTGTTGAAAATCTCCCTT